GGGGGGGATATTAACGTGTTTTTGTGCACAGTGAAATTGTAAATGGGCTGATTTATCAATGTCATGCTCATACTGTGCCAGAACAACATCCTTACTATCGTCATTTCCCTCTACTTCTTTTGTTTGTTTGTCACTCTCTTGTCAACTGCTATTTCCAGGGTGCCTTGATAGTCGAAGCAGACTTTGTGCTGTTGAGGCCAGAGAGGTGAGCAGAGTAAGCCTGATTCCTTGTTTGGACTTCTCTATTGACATCCGCCGCTCATATGACCTTATACAATTGCGAGCGACGTAAAACATTACTAAAATAAATCAAACCTACCGTGCCGTACCGTACCGTGTCTATGGATTCAAGCATTGAATTTGCCACTTGCGATACCGCACATTGCGTCCCGATGCCGTTCCGCTGCCGTTCAGTTTCCGTGCCTATGGATTCTTAGCTGTATTCCTATCACCTCACATCCCACAGCAGTGGTCTCTATGCGTTCTTCTATATGCAAAGCCAGTGGGAATGGTGTCCAAAAAATGTCTGTTCTGGAGCATCATATTGAAGACTTCTCATTGACTGTTTGAGACAAGTCCGAGCACTCTGTAGTCAAACACACCCAGTGCATCACATTGAGGACTTCTCATTGACTGTCTTAGACAAGCCCCCTCCCCCACCCCACCCCCACTCTATAGTCGGACACACCCAGTAGAGCATCACATTGAAGACTTCTCATTGACTGTCTTAGACAAGCCCCCTCCCCCACTCCACCCCCACTCTATAATCAGACACACCCAGTTTATCACATTGAAGACTTCTCATTGACTATCTGAGACAAGCCCCCTTCCCCACCCCACCCCCACTCTATAGTCCGACACACCCAGTAGAGCATCACATTGAAGACTTCTCATTGACTGTCTAAGACAAGCCCCCTCCCACTGTAGTCAAACACACCCACAGCATCAGATTGAAGACTTCTCATTGACTCTCTGAGACAAGCCCCCTCCCCCACCCCACCCCCACTTTATAGTCAGAAACACCCAGTAGAGCATCACATTGAAGACTTCTCATTGACTGTCTAAGACAAGCCCCCTCCCACTGTAGTCAAACACACCCACAGCATCACATTGAAGACTTCTCATTGACTCTCTAAGACAAGCCCCTCCCACTGTGTAGTTATACACACCCAGAGCATCACATTGAAGACTTCTCATTGACTGACTGAGCCATGCCCCCTCCCTCTGTGACTGTAGTCAAACACACCCACAGCATCACATTGAAGACTTCTCATTCACTGACTGAGCCATGCCCCCTCCCTCTGTGACTGTAGTCAGACACTCCCAGAGCATCACATTGAAGACTTCTCATTGACTGTCTGAGACAAGCCCCCTCCCCCACTCCACCCCCACTCTATAATCAGACACACCCAGTTTATCACATTGAAGACTTCTCATTGACTATCTGAGACAAGCCCCCTTCCCCACCCCACCCCCACTCTATAGTCCGACACACCCAGTAGAGCATCACATTGAAGATTTCTCATTGACTGACTGAGCCAAGCCCCCTCCCCCTCCCCACCACCACTCTATAGCCACACACATTCAGAGCTTCACATTGAATACTTCTCATTGACTGTTCGAGACAAGCTCCACCCACTTTATAGTCAGACACACCCAGTTTATCACATTGAAGACTTCTCATTGACTCTCTGAGACAAGCCCCACTCACTATATAGTCAGACACACCCAGTAGAACATCACATTGAAGACTTCTCATTGACTGTCTGAGACAAGCCCCCTCCCCCACCCCACCCCCACTCTATAGTCAAACACACCCAGTTTATCACATTGAAGACGTCTCATTGACTGACTGAGCCAAGCCCCCTCCCTCTGTGACTGTAGTCAGACACACCCAGTGCAGCCAGAAACAACCCTGGCCCGGCATGACAGAAGGTAACGTCCTTGTCTATTCCAAAGTACCGTAGCACTTTTCCCTACTGAGATAAGACGTTATCTTTGTAACATTTTGTAAACAGTTTTGTTTTGTTTTTCATTTTGTCTTGAAGTCTTGAAGCCAAAAAGTTTTGATAGTTCATTTGACAGAACAGATCTATGTTCCTGATCCAAACAATAATGACTGCTTGACTGACTTAAACAACGGAGATTTGCAGGTGATTTAATTGTGTGAAATTCGATTCTCATCCGGAATGTAGAACTTTTTTTTACAACAAAAAGCAGACTGCATACGATTTTGAAAGGATTTCTTTAGCATTTTCTCGTTAAGATTGAAGGCGAAACTGGATCCTGATTTCGGCTATATTACAGCGAGGTTTTAAATCGAATATGCATTACGTTGCTTGGTAAATCCTGAATGCTTTCATATTATAGACTCAAAATTAGGCCAATTTTTCATAGAATATAAACTTGATGTGATACGCAAAAAAGGATTTCTATTTTTTAAACCAGCTACCAAAAAAAAGCTAAAACAAGTCGCACGCCTAATGTCACAAAGTATGTTTTAACCAGTGTTTTATTATATAATAATAATATGTGTTTTGAAATACCAGACGTCTAAAAGAGGACATATTTAAAGGGTCATTACTCAGTTATACTTGGACCAACTTTGACAAAACTTCGAACTTTTACAACTTTACCAGGATGACGTTACAATTTATAATATTGCGGCCGACGTTAATCAAAACTTTCGAAATAATGTCAAGAAAAAAAAATCAACAATATTTAAGAGATTCGCCAAACTTTACAACTTTTTAAAATCAGTCATAATGTCGTTTTATTTTAAATTTGTGAATATTTGTCCACAGAAGAACAATCAATTATCTTGTTGAAAATGTTTATTATCAAATGAACTCCAAGAACCTAGTAGCCACTTCAACTGTATGCTCCTGGTGTTGACCTTGTGTTATCTCCATAGAAGTTCCAAAGCGCCACTCGACATTTTGAGTTCCCTTTTGGCATTTTTGGGGTCCATTCTTTGGATCAGCTTTTCAGCATTGCATCTAAACGGTTCATTTTACTGGGTTTCCTCCATGGATTCTGTGTGGTAAACCCCCCCCCCCCAACAAAACAAAACGAAGCAACCTCCCCTAAAATAACAACAACAACAACAACAACAACAACAACAACAACAACAACAACAACAACAACAACAACAACAACAACAAAACCCAACAACAACCAGGAACACAACACTACAATAATTAAAAGGGCTCAAGACCATCTATTTGTAAATGTCCAGCTTGTGAGTTGTTCCCCCAACCTTCCTTGCAAACGTTCAAGCGCCACCATTGACTTGTGGGGTGTGGGCCCATCACACTGGGACCAGGGATCAACAGCATAAACCTGTAATTAAGACGTAAACTTTTCGGGTTACCTAATTTTGGTCAATTAAAAAAAGAAAACTTGATCTTTCTCGAATACGTTGATTGCCCTTCCTAATGATATTTACAAACTTGAAGTCCTCTTGGTTGATAATTCTTTGTTCGAAGTAGTGTTGAAATTAGTAACCTACAGACATGACTGAGCGTTTGTCCTCTAAGTGGGTTCCATCTTTATTTAGACGCATTGTATTTACACGTTATACAATACACATATGTGTAACGACACAATGGAATCAGGCACCCGTCATTTTTTTGGGTATGTGAAGTTATTGTTATCATCTAAAAGCTTGTTCATTTGACTATACATGTATTTCACTGAAAAATGTAATGCATCTATTTCGAATAGAAATCGAGATATATTGTGATTGAAGGAAGTGAAGGTCGCCTGGTTTCAGAGTTAAAATTGTATTTCCGCGTGATATTATAATACACATATTATTACGTCAATAGAAGTATACACGTGCCCCCAGCTCGGGTCTCAGAGACGTAGGCCACGTGACGTGTGCATACCACCGCGACATTCTGCTGCGTGTGGACAGATGATAAGCTACAAAAAGAGACGACATGAAAACTGGTCCGCAGAGCTGGAACGAAACGATACACAGACAATAGGTAGGGTGGAAGATTGGAGCAGTTGCCCTCCCTCGAACTTTACTTGTGTGGGGGGTTGAAGTCTGACAACGTGAAATCTCTGAAGGATTCGACACACAGGTGAGTTACTTACTTGTTGGAGTTGTCCTATGTTAACCCACTCACCCCACCCCCACCCCCACATCACCACACACCCACACCCCGCCCACACACACACACCCAGCCCTTCCCCTTTCCACTCAGATTGGTTGTCTCGGGAGGGACGGCCTAGTCAGTGAATTATTTCTGGATGGATAGATATCTTACATTTGCCTGTCTGTTTCTTTTTTTTTCTTTTATTTGCTGGAACTAAACAAGATTCCGTTTAATTAATTCCTGTTAAAACACAGAGATACTTGATAAAGCATAAGATTGCATTTTTCTTTCTGAGGAAATGTAACCGAGGTCCTTTGTACGGAAGGCGAAGAGCATAATAAGTCTTTCTCCGCCCACAGCAATATCTTTAATTATTGATCATATGTTCTTGAGACGGTTCCTTGCCTTGTGTAGTTAGGCCCTACTTGAAACAAAGTATTGAAAATGTGTTACAGATGGATAGAGAATACAAGAGGAAAAGCACAAAATGTGTTTAGAAGGATAGAGAGCTGAAAAGGAAAAAAATAACATGTGTTACGGAAGGATATAGAGTAGAAGAGAAAAAGAATGACATGGTTATAGAATGATTTGTAAAAAAAAAGATAACCAAACAAAAAGATTATATAAAGTGTGTGCAGATATTTAAGCATATTTGTATTAGTTAGATGGTATTTTTCTTTCTACCCCCCCCCCCAAAAAAAAAAAGTTTGGTGGAAGCAAAACCAAATTTTAATATTCCAAACATTTATTTTGAGCTGTCAGTCAACAGGTCGCCTAAACCATGACTCGCAGCAAGTTGATCGCTATCGGGCTCGTCTGTTGTGCGCTGCTCACTCTCGTCATAGTCCTCTCCGTGGTCCTCACGAGAGACAACGATGATGACGACGACGGGGGCAACCCGGCACCTTCCAAGGAACCGATCTCCCTCACTGAGAACATGCAGTTGGCTCCAAAGTGGGAATCTGGTTCTCTCGAATTAACTGTATCCGGTATTCCGACGGCGAAGATCGCGCCAGTGACTGCTTACCTAGGGAGGAACGTTGAGCTGAATGGGTCGAGGGTGTGCACGGACAGCCACGGAATCCACTGTCGTTCATTTGTGGATGGACGGAGACTTGAAATACTGGAGTCTGTCAAGGTAAGACAAGAGGGGAGCGGGGGA